TTAAAGCTCACCAAAACGATACTCAAACGTTTGACAGACGTCGGGGATGCATGAATTGCTTTAAAAATAAGAAAATATCACGAGTTAATTCATTATATTTACCTTTTTTAGGTGAACGGCTTCGACTTCGACTTCTAGGCATTATAAAATAGTTGTAGAGTTTGTTAATTTTGAAAGGAAATTGGAAATATATTTTTCTAAATTGTCAATATATCAGCAGTCTTCGTTCTTCAAAATATGCGCAYTTGCTATWTGCGCATATTTTCCGCTGACCAGTAATCCTTGCGGYGTGGGCTTCCTGTGTTCTTGTCCAAAGTCATGTTGTGTGGGTCCGTTTTTGGAAGAATTTTAGTCAATAGAGGACTTTATAGAGCTTTTAGCACTACAATGCAGTCACGAGCATCAGTAGCAGTGGTAAGTATGCATTTCAATTTGATTTATGATGAGCTAAAAAAGTAAAGATGTATGGATTTAAATCTGTGAAATTTCAATTCACATAATTTTTGTTTCTTTATTTTACGATTTTTAAAGCCTTTTTATACGATGGATCTTTGATGTTTTATAGTATTAATTTTATAAATTGTATAAGGTTGTCAATATTTAAAGCATTATTTTGTTGATAGAATACAAATATGATCATTTTCTTTTTCACCAATATCTCTTATTTTCACTTTTTACGTCTTATTTTTCTAATTCCAAAAACATTGCATTTGCAACATCTAACTTCAGATTCCATTGCACGGACTGCAGAGCAGAGTAAATACTTAAGAACAAATTTTGCATTTTTGGAAAATACAGGTGRCCAGATKTACATGTAGACMAAAATCAAAWATTCCCCYCTGTCGCACACTGGTTCTGTTTTTGCAGTWAWTAATTCTTTTCTTTTCAGGTTTTATCAGGAAATGGAGTATTTGATGGCACAGAAGTACATGAAGCTTCAGCGTAAGTTCAGASTTTCTCTGAACAATGTTTTGGAWTATTTTGCTTCAATTGTTAAAATTATTTTATTTTTTCCTAGTATTTTAGTTCACCTCAGCCGTGCAGATGCTAATGTCACTATGTATGCTCCAGACATCCCACAAATGCATGTTATCAATCATGCTAAGGGAGAAGATGCTAAAGAAACTAGGTATTATTATCAGGGTAATTCTTATCAAGGATGCAGGTTTAACTTGACGATATAGAATGACAGTTAATAGTACCAATTAGTTGTAARGACAACACCAAAGTCATTTACATTCCTCTGGAGTAGAGTAGGCTACATGCTCTTCATATTGGGATGTACTGTAGTAATTATATAGCTACATCTATATATTTTTAGCTTTTTTGTTTAAATTTTTTTTATATTTGAAAGGAATGTTTTGAGTGAGTCTGCAAGAATTGCCAGAGGAAAAATTGAAGCTTTGGATAAAATTGATGCCTYTTCCCATGATGCATTGTTTTTCCCAGGAGGCTTTGGTGCGGCCAAAAACTTGTGAGTGTAATGCTTAATATTTTATAATTAGCTTTATAAATTATGCTAATGTGATTCTCACATACTGTCTTTGTCAAGTGATTTTTTGGTCTTAAATATGTTAGTTTTTCAGCTTTTTTTCAGCCTTAAAATACTAGTTTTGCTTTTGCTTCATCAAGGTCTTCATTTGCCACTGAAGGGGTTGACATGAAGGTTAATGAACAGGTTGAAAAGGCCATCAAAGAATTTCACACAAAACAAAAACCAATTGGGTAAGGAAGTAAAAGATTAATTGTGTGTGTCGGGCTTCCTGTGTCTTGATGGTACATAGGAAGCCCAAAATCAAAGGAGCAGTAATTTTAACTCAGATGTTTTTGATATCTGATGTTTTATATAGGCCGGGATGCATTTTTTAGCTGTAGGGTACGTTACACAAAAGCCTTGCATGCTACACACACTTGAATAACATTAATAACATGTGATTTGAGTTTCTTTCGTTCTCTCCCTTGCTTCGAGGGTTTTTCTTGGTCTTTTCCATTTTTTCCTCCCTCAGTAAAAAACGAACCATTTCTATCTGCTGTGCTCTGTGTTCAGTTAACGTTATTAGTGTGTGTAAATTGTGTCTATAATATAGCACTTTGAATTGAGAGCGCTTCGAAAGACGCAAGTCTTTCGCACTTCAGCACCTATACTGCCATGATGAAGGATGATTAGTGCCCAACACCTTTGATAACTTGGTGATATATTTTTGATACTTTAGGCTATGTTGCATTGCACCAGTATTGGCTGCCAAGGTAAGAATTATTATGAACCTAAGAATTCAATCTTAAACTTCTGCTTTCTCCTGTAATTTTGATCTTGGTAATGTATCAATCATCATGTAATGTCATTGTAGGTGATAGAGGGTTGTGAAGTAACAGTTGGTCAAGAYAAGGATGATGGATCAGGMAAGTGGCCATATGCCGGCACAGCAGAAGCTGTTCAGAAGATGAATGCAAAGCACTTCAATAAAAATGTTGATATATCCTTTATTAAGATCTATAATTATAAGTAATACAGTRCATTGCACACACTCGGAATGGAGTACCACATTGATATTCATATCAGACAGAGACCTTGCCAGCTTTTTGTTTTAAAAACCCAGTCAATAAAGAAAAGTTATCTTCAAGAMAGGAGGCWMWTAKAGTGTTTCTGAAAAACAAAATTACCATTTACTGTACATATCTGGTMTRGCWTCAAGACAAATAACACCGCATTTGGCTGCACAAGCAAAACTGTTTATACCAAAGWATTGATATTTCAGCTTYGCTGTATGGGATACTAAATGGTTAATTATCATATTCGTTGTYTTTATTATTATACGACCATTATTGTTTATCTTTTATTTTTCTTGACATTTATGTACGAAATTCATATTGACGAGAAAAAYAAGATAGTAACTACACCAGCGTACATGTGTGACACCAAAGTACATGAAGTACATGATGGCATCGGGAAAATGGTGAAAGCTGTACTATCGTTAACAAAGTAGAAAAACAAGAGGAAAAAGGAAAACAAAAACAAAAAAGCGAGAGTAGACAGTAGGAAACAAATGTTTGAGAATTGTCTGAAAATATTGTACCACACGGTAGATCCATTGACTGGAGTGGTTTAATAGAGGATCATTTACGTTCTGCAAATAAAGTGAAACCGCAGTAGATATAGCTTGCTATGCTGTCAAGTATGTCAAAGAAAAGAACAGTGTCTAAAATGTGTATTTTCTGTTTGGTAAATARGATTAATAAAATTATTAATTATTGAATTGCTTGGTTGGCATCCCGGGTAAAACACGTAGTCCTTTGCAGACAGTTCCTGACACAAAACATGCAGACAGGTACCGCAACACTCGTAGCACAAAATATTTATAAGTATTTTCAATTGTAATTAAAAGCCAGCTTAACCATTTATGAGAACCTGCATGTTTTTTAATAGTATTATTTATTTCATACCTGTTTTACAAAACGTTGCGACCAAATTAAAATGAATAAAAAAGATTTTAATTACTGTAAACTAAACCATTTTCGCGCTAGGAAACAATTTGCGCGAGGAACCTGTGGTTTTGCACCAAAGCGAGTCAAAATCCGGCAATTACCAAAAAGTTGTCATTTTTTTAGTTTGTTTATCTTTTTGCAATGTCAGAAAAATAATTTTTGATGGTAAAGAAAGTCATAATTTTGACATTTGGCACTCTTGCTCATTTCAGGGCTGCAGCAAAACTAGCAAACATCGATGTTGACCGCTTTGGCCTTGAAAAGGTTTGTCAAATTAACTGAATACCATTAGTGTATGTGTARAAGTTTGAAGGAGCCATAATGAAGTAGTTTTATGAACACGAACTAACTACAAAGCAGAATTGTTGATGAGAAYTCCGGTAGCACTTGCAAAATATGGACAGCACTAAGTAACGGTATTCCTGTGGCGTTCTAATTACGTACGGAAAGACGTTATCGAGCAGATTATGATGTCACAAACGCTAACCAGATTGATTAGAATTTCATTGATGCTCCACACGTTTTTGATACACTCAGGTAAACTATTTTATTTTGCACTACTTTGTTGTATCTAGTTGACCATGGTATGAGTGCAAAGCAATCCGATGTGTTAAAATACACGTCAGTGCTTTGGTAAAAAGTACTCGATATCAAAGGTAAAACGAGTTTGTTTTTCAAGTGCACTTTTCATCATTTGCTAATTCCCATTCAGTTAGTTTTTGTTTTACTAGTATACAAGAATTTAGCTCGTATATAGTGCGGCAAAGCATTCTGGATATATAGACATTGACAAAAGGTTGTCGTCGACCGGATTTCAAGAAACGCGACTAGCCCGAACTATTTTCTGGTTAAAAATCAATGAACTGGCAAATTGGAGATTTGAACGCCTTTGTGATTGGAAGAATTGACACATAATGTGTGACAAAAACTTCCAAATAACGTGAATTTAATTATGCATGCATGTGATGTTGCATCTCACATTGTTTTCCATCATGGCGGGGAATAAAACCTGAAACAAATCGCTAAAACTACTGGTCCAGGAAAACTGCTCAAATTTGATGAAATTGGCATGTTGCTTTTTAGMTTTTTGAAACGAACCCTGTACTAGTATAGCTTTCATGATAACACAAAGGCCGCCAGCGGCCAGSGAGACACGCCACATAGTTGAGCCAAAGACACTGAGAATCACCACTTTTTTAGATTTCCAGCCAATCACAAAGAACATGAATGGATAAAACCCCTCAAAAGTCGGAAAAAGTATCAATTTTTAGTGGTCCCTCTTGTAGTGATCCTCCATGCTGATATTTGTAGTATCATACTTACACTCTATAGCCTCTGAAGTCATGTCTAAAAATATGTTAAATAGTAACGATTATAGTAACGTACGAGATCTACGTCTTTATACGCACACCATTACGACAATAATTGTCACATCAAATWGTTGAATTATAGTCATTTCCTAAAGGTAGAGTTAGAGCGGATTTCGTATGAGTGGGAAACGGACGGTACTGTACTGTAACCGTAATCGTACTGTAACCAAATTCTAGTGCCCCATTGGTTCACCAAAATTTTGAAGGCCAGGTGCGGTAACCGTGCGGTAACGGTGTCCCACTCATACGAAATCCGCTCTAGTTAATGTGAACAGTTCTACTCTACTAACTCTGCTAAAGGTACATACGCTCGCCTAGGTCCGCTAACTGTAGAGCGCGCGATCTCGCTGGTCTAAAACTGTGAGCAGTAGAGTGAATGCGCAATGCGTTTGGAATGGCCTTAATAGAAAAAAGAAACAAAGCTTCTTCGAAGAATCGGCACAGAGAACAGCAGTGGACCCGAATGGAGTGCTGTTTGCGTTCCACGCTACACTTGATTGCTAAACATCCACAATCATTCAAACAAGATTCCAGTTTGTAATGATAACCTTTAATATAAAATTCATTTATATCACTATTTAATAGTAACAGTCACTATATTTGCACCTATATTGTCTCCTCATGTCTGAGTGGCTTCAAGCGACCAGCAGTAGCGTGCGTGTCGTCTACCTCATCAGTGCGGTGCGCGCGCTTCTTTCGTCGATTCAATTTTTCCATAATTAATGATAGCTGTTGCTTTATTTCGTCAAACTGCACGTTGACGTTCCTACTCAGTTCAATTTGCTGTTGTTCTAGTTTATTCATTTCTTTTCTTAGTGATTGTACGTCATTTGAAGGCGAGTAGACTCTACCGCCTTTTCTCTTCTCCTCTACTTTCAGTATCTCGTGCACCTCGTCCAATCCATCCTTAATTTGATGYGTCATTCGTTTCAAGTCTCCCTCCTCGTCGTCTACTATGTCGTCATCGTAAAACAGTTCGTCAGGAGCACAGCGCGTGTGAATAAAATTCGCAAATTTTCGCCTAGTTGAACAAGAACATCCATTTTCAAGACTGAGAATCGTACTTGCCTGCTGCATRACAGCGTTWGCTTTGACATTATCGTACACTCTTTGGAAAGTRTCTGACATAAGTGCAATGAATAAATTGAGACATATAATGGCCGATAAAGCTATGTAAGTACCGCAGAGTACCTTCGACATGATTGGTTCTTTTGCTGACAAGCTGTCATAGTTATAGTCATCAACGACTGTCATACGAAACATACTGTACAACAAGTCAGAGATGTTGGAGTAGCCGCTGACCTTATAACCAGCAAATACCATCCAGAAAGAGGCAGTGTACGGGATATAAAGAATGATATAAAGTAAGCCAAATTTGAGGACGTCRAAGATAAGGTGCCCTCCCATAACAACGAATGGACCAATAGCRCGGAACGGTCGGCAGGTCTTTAAAAGGCGAATCCACAAACAGATCACAGTGGCAGACATTAAATTCGTGTGTAATTTATCCGCTGCCCGGACAGTAGTGAGGGCGGATGTGACATGYGTTATCACTGATGCCATTATCATGAAATARGTAATCCAGTCAAATATATTCCACGCATCTTTAAAGTAAGCTGGTTCTAGRGTTTTTAATGTGTCCATTTCTTGCATTAAATAAAGCCTTTCCCCAGGCCACCGTGGATGGCAGTAGGCCAAGTCTCTTTTAAGCTCAGATTCCCGCCATCGCGTCCACCGTCGGTGTTCCTTCTTAGAGAARAAATACTCCGATAATTCTCGCCGTATTTCGTTTAAATAAAGTAAAAACGCCAGTGCTCCAACCAAAACTCTCCACCAGTTTTCGTCGATGGGCGTGTAGTTGTGTGACCCGTCTACTGACGTTGTCACGCCAAAAACAGTCCAAAGTGTCACGAAAACAAGTCCTGTAATGAGTTGGACCCAGGCCCCTTTCCTTCCAAAATGTTGCCATTTGACTTTGATTAGTCTTTGGAAGATTGGGTGCATAATGAGATCAAACTGTTTGTGAAGTATTACAACCTCCATTGCYGTCTGTGGCCAACCACTGATCAAAACCTTTGGAACTGTAGGCTCAAGATAGTTTAGGTAGAAAAACTGTTTTCTGTTAGCTCTGTCTCTGGAGTAGAACTGATCAAGAGCCAGTTTGGCCTACAAGAGAACAAAAATGGCCTTATTACATATATCTTCTTTTGAGGTACACCTTTTCAACKTGTWCCTGAGTTGAGTCATATAATCAATGTTAGCCTTATGCAGTACACAGCCCAGTTTACAGGGACTCACCTCAGTTATTATTTTAATGGTCATATTATTTTAATATATTATGGTCATATTATTTTAATACATATGGTCATATTATTTTAATGGTAAATATAAAATTTTCCTGGACATAAAAAATCTGGCCATAATAGAGTGGCTGTATTGAAATAAAAGCAAGGTTTCACTGTCACCTCATGAGTTTATTTAGTCTAAAGAAACTGATTGATGTGTTTTACTATTGCGCACTCATGGGCCTGCACTAAAATGAGTTATAAAACTCATTAATATTCATAAGGCAAAACACAATAGAAATCATAGCCCATGAAGAGAGTTGTATATTACATACAGATTTCTTGTTAATTTGCATAAACTTTTACTCTGATTTTCTCAGTCAGATTGAATTTTTTTTCAAAAGTTTCTTTAAAACCTGAGCTAATTTACCTTAACGTTTCATAAGTAATATACAATATTCGCGTGCAATCTGTATGAGGATTTAAAACAGCTCGCTTTCAGCTCGCTGTTTTAAATCCTCATACAGATCGCCCGCTCATATTGTATATATTACATACAGAGATACGAAGATACAAAGATACAAAGATACAAAGATACAAAGTTTCAAAGATATCAGATTTCAAAGATGTCAATGTATAATTGTCAAATTCCACTGTCTTCTATATAATTTGTACATATAGTTTTTGCTCGGTCTTATACTGCACACTGTGCCCGCGTTTTCCTGAAACACATATACAGTATATACTCATTAACGTGGCGGTTCTTGTTATTTTTGTTCCTGTTATAAGGCGTTGGGTCGCTTTCTATTGTTAATTGCACACTTTGATTTTATTATAGAAAGATGGATGATGTCAATTTTACAATAAATATAATAAATAATCACGAGTGAATAAAAGTTTGATACAGATAACCGTTTGTTTACATGGATGATTACAGAGCGGTTTTTGTATGAGTGGGGATTAAACTTAACCGTACTACGGCCGTAGCCGTAAGTAACCGTACCGTAAAACATTCGAAAATTCTGCAGTTACAGTACCGTAACTTTGCAATAAATGTTACGGCCAGTTTCCCACTCGTACGAAAACCGCTCTATTACAAGCAATAGCACATGGTTGCTTGAAGATATATACGGATCTAAACTTCTCAACACTCGAAGATCCGTATCTCCGTGCGCCCATGTGTCCCGAACGTAAACATAAGCAAAAGTGATTAGATATTTCACGTAATATCACAATGTTTCATCGCGAGTTTATTTAAGCAATAGAAGAAAGTTTATACGACTCACGCGTGATGTTGGGAGAGACACGAGAGCATTTTGAACATCACGAGCCGGAGGCGAAGTAGATCGACACACTACATCGAGGTAGGAAAAATATGACTATTGGGGCTGGTATCTGAAGAGAAATTCGATCGATCGTTTGAGTTCCTTTGAGTATAATCATTTCCGGTACTGAATATATGGCAGAAATCAATTGTTTATTTGCGTCGACTTCGGCCCGAAATGAATCACAAACACAACTTAAATGGTCTTGAATATATAATATATAATCTTTGTTTATTTGAGATTTGTCGAAGAATATTCGTGATTTCAACGTGAATTCAGTGGAGCAATTCGGTGTTAGCAAACCAAAACAAATAATGAATGAACGACATTGACATCTTTGTAACTTTGTATACATTGACATCTTTGAAAYCTGATATCTTTGCAACTTTGTATCTTTGTATCTTTGTATCTCTGTATCTCATTGTAGTGCAGGCCGCACTCATGGAACTATGAGCAATTTAGAACTCATGGACTATTTTTATAGGCTTTCCTATATGCTAAAATGGGAAAGGATTTTGATCCTTACCACTGGTGGCATTTTACTGATCATCATTACCAATGCTGTCATCCCACTTTCATCCTGCACGCCAGCATCAGCACCCATCTCAATCAACAGCTTGGCTGTCTCTGACCTRTCTAACTCAGCAGCTACCTAATATCAATACATCAAGACAAACAATTAAATGACCTTATTCAGTTAAAAAATCCATAACAAAATCTATGGAGCAGTCCTGGGGTTGGACATGAGGGGTAGGTGGTTGTAGATCATTGTAGGTTGTTGAAGGTCATTCCTCGTTTTGGTAACTACGATCCACAGTTAACTCCATCGCATTTTTAGAGTTTAATGAGGATTATCACTAATTGAGCTTTGAACAACCCAGATAACCCTGACTTTATAACCCTAAACCTGGTCATRTACCTGTAATGGTGTCCTGTTCTTAAAATCTCTGTCTTCAATTCCTGCACCACATTTAATTAATGTCTTCAAAGAATTCCCTGCATCATTACGAGCTGCAAAGTGTATYGGTGTCTGTAATTCACCYTGTGTGCGTGCATGCAGGTCTGCTCCRCTKTCWATCAAAAACTGWACCATCTCAGGGTAGTCTACTGCAGCAGCCACGTGGAGTGGTGTGCGCCCATACTTATCCTTTTGGTCTATTTTACCACCTATATACAGATTAATACTTTAGTCAAGAGATCTATTAAGTAAAGCAACGGGGATAAAGGGTGAAAGGGTTTTATTCCAGGAAGAGGAAAAAGCACAAT